GCAGGAACTGCAACAGCTTTGATTCTTATAGGAGGGGAGACCATGAAACTGTTCTTCCAAATAGTTTGTGGTCCCACTTGTACCTCAAACCCTTTAACCACAGTGGAGTGGTACTTGGTTTTCACTTCTCTATCCATTGTCCTGTCTCAGCTTCCTAACCTCAATTCAATTGCAGGCCTCTCACTCATAGGGGCTGTGACAGCCATAACTTACTCCACCATGGTCTGGGTACTCTCTGTTAGCCAACAAAGGCCCCCCTCAATCTCCTATGAACCCCTATCATTGGCATCATCATCTTCTCTGTTTCTTGCCTTGAATGCACTTGGAATTGTAGCCTTTTCTTTTAGAGGCCACAATTTGGCCCTAGAAATTCAGGTACTTATGAGTTGCCAATAAATTATTCTAGTTTTGCCTTGAAGTTTATTTCTATGTAGTTAGTGAAGATATGCACTTTGTTTCCTTCAGGCCACAATGCCTTCAACTTTCAAGCACCCTGCTCGTGTGCCAATGTGGAAAGGAGCCAAGGTTGCTTATTTCTTCATTGCAATGTGCCTCTTCCCTATTGCTATTGGAGGATTTTGGGCCTATGGCAACCAAGTAAGTAAACTGAAAACTGGATTCTTATTGATAAAGAAATATAAATGATTTTCATGTGAATTTAATCTATATAGTCAATTGGTTAGTGCAAAACTATTTTACACGGATATTTAATCATATTTGAGTCTTTTTATCAAATCATTCGAGTTAGTTTGGAAATAAATTTAGAAGGATTTTTGAGAGTTTCTTTATTGAAAATAAAGAGTTTCTTCTCGTAGAAAAGTTCTTAAAACAATTTTAACTTGTATTCGAAATGGTTAATATTCATTAATATAATGAGACCAAAGGGTATATTTCTAATATTTCTATTAGATTCGTGTGTAATTGCATATGAATTAAGTTTTTTTTTTTCCATCTTACTACATTGTGCTTCTACAAGCACACTTTTGTATAATTGTATTCAATCATGCAGCATCTTCAAATTTTTCCATTATTTTCTTGCAGATGCCTCCCGGGGGGATTCTTACTGCTTTGTATGCATTTCACAGCCATGACATCTCTAGAGGAATACTTGCCTTAGCTTTCCTTCTTGTTGTGTTCAACTGCTTGAGCAGTTTCCAGATATATTCAATGCCTGCTTTTGACAGTTTTGAAGCCGGTTACACGAGTAGGACAAACCGTCCCTGCTCCATATGGGTGAGATCAGGTTTTCGAGTGTTCTATGGATTTGTCTCATTCTTCATAGGAGTGGCGCTTCCCTTCCTCTCAAGTCTTGCTGGTTTGTTAGGAGGACTCACTCTTCCAGTCACCTTTGCATATCCTTGCTTCATGTGGGTTCTCATAAAACAACCAACAAAATATAGCTTCAATTGGTATTTCAACTGGATTCTGGGTTGGTTGGGGGTTGGTTTTAGCTTGGCCTTTTCCATTGGAGGTATTTGGAGCATTGTGAATGATGGACTCAAACTCAAGTTCTTCAAGCCCAATTGATTTTTTAATAACAGCTAATAAGCCATGCAAATGCACATGCACTATATAAATGCTGCTCTTTAGGCCTTTTCCAATGGTCTCATATTTAGTGCATGACTTATCTTTCGTGGAAGGTTTGGTTCTATTGTGAGAAGTAATGGTTAGTGGAAAGCCATGCATTATTAATGAAGAGAATGATCCTTTCCTTGATAGTGAAGTTTAAAGAATATCTCTCCATGGCTTCACCATTCCTCTGATGTGGTTCTCTTATCTCTTAGTGCTGCTATAGCTTGTTATATTTAGAATATTAAATGGTTTGCTCTTATTCATTTTTGTAGAGACATCCAGAACAACCCTCTGCCCCCAACTAAAATCCTCAAGTCTTCAAGTTGTACGCTGTAACCCGTGTGGTTTCAAAAGTAAAATGTTTAGATCCTTTCTATCTTCTTTACCTTTGTACTGATGACTATTAATTTTGGTTAATGAGAGAAGCAGATAAATCTTCAATCTAGGTAGTCTACTATATACATCCCGCTAACGAAAACTGAAATAATATACAGGTAAATAAGCATTTTCGAGTTAAAAATTTACTCGATTTAGTAGAGAAGAAATTTGTGATAAACTTGGTGGAGATTTGTGATAATATATAGTAAATATTTTTTATGGTGTGTTTGGATGAGGAATTTTAGAAATTTAAATTTTTGAAATTTGAATTACTTTGATTTTAATTTTTATTATTCTTTAAATATTTTATTTTGATAAATCAAATCAAATTTCTTAAATTTTAAATTATTAATTTATAATTTGATTTTTTACCATGGATGAAATTAATTTTAAATATATATACACACATTAAGATTTTAAGATTAAATTTTATAAAAGAATATATTAGCTAATTTTTAAATATTTAAAACTTTTAAAAATTAATATTAGATAACATTTAATAATTTAAAAATATTTTTTAATGTTCAATAATTTATTAAGAGATAAAAAGATATATATAGGTAAGATGAGAAAGAAAAAATATGAAAAATTTTAAATTTTTATTTTTTTAGAAAACTTTAAAATTTTACTGTTTTAAGAAATTTTACAAACATTAAGATTTTAAATTCTTCGTAAATTATTCATCTAAATAATGAATTTAAAATTTTTCGAATTTGAATTATTTTATTTTAATTTTTATAATCTTTTAAATTTTTTTGTTTGGATAAGTTAATTTAAATTTCGTAAACTTTAAATTCTTAGTTTAAATATGATATTTTGATTTCTACCATAGATAAAATTAATTATCTATATATATATATATTTTGAGATTTTAAGATTAAATTTTATAAAAAAAAATAATCAATTTTTAAATATTTAATAGTTTAAAAAATCAATATTAAATAAAATTTAATACTTTAAAAATATTTTGAATATTTAATAATTAAAAAAATTATTAATATTTTTTATGTCAACTTTGAAAGAGAGGTGAGAGAGGTAGGAGAAAAAACAAAAAGAAGAAAAGAAGAAAAGACAAAACAAAAAGAGGGAGAGATGAAGGGAAAAAGGAAATAGGAGAGAAGAGAGAATATAGTATGAGTGATAAAAGAGAGAGATAAAAGGAAGAAAAAAAAAGATAAGAGAGAGTGAAAGATAAAAATATATAAGTGAGATAAAAAAAAGAAAAAATATATAAATAATTTTAAATTCTTTTTTTTTTTGGAAGAATTTAAAATTTTATTATTTTAAAAAATTTCACAAATACTTAAATTTTAAATTATTTTAAAAAAATTATTTAAACAAAGCATTTAAAACTTTCAAAATAAATAAATAAATTACTTCGTTTAAATTTATCATCCAAATTCAATCTATATGAAAGCACCACAATAAATTCAACAGCATATTGAACTGAATCGCAGAGTAATTGAAGTATGAATTCTTGCATTTTATATTAAATTTTGCTAATTGTTACTTATAGTTGTATATTAGAGCATTTTGATATATAGCACGTTTCCTATGACCAATTCACTTTGGCCACCATAGAGCTAAATTGACACTTAAAGAAAATGTAAATATTATAAGTGATATGATCTAATTAAAAAAGATAAAATAAAAAATAATATATGATGAAATGTATAATATTTGAAAGTATAGAGGGATGTGTCTAGAAATTACAATGCTTAATAAAAAGTTTATATTAATTTTTTTTATTTCTTAATTAAACATGTGATTTTATTATTAAATTTTTTCACCAAAAACATATTTTTGTTTAATCATAATTTTATTCACTAATTTATATTATAGTAATTTCTATGGTTGTTTTTAAAATAGGGAGAGGTAGAATTTAAAATAGATGTAATATATATATATATATATA